TAAATGAACTTTATGTGTTGGCACTTAATAGTAAATTGATATAACTCAATAAACATTTTTGAACATTGAGTTCATATTAACTGGAAGTGCAATAACTAATAATAATTTATCATTTACACAAAAATATTTGAACTCCCTATATTTTTTTTCTCCAGAAATCTGAATAAATATCTATTGACTTTTATGACTTTAAATTAATTAAAACTTTATAATTTTTTGTATTGAAATATGTTTATTTAAAATAATAAAAAATTATAAATATAGTATATTCACTATTATATAATAGTAAATTATAAAAATGTTTATACCCAAAGCATAGTTGTCAATTATTTGTAATAACATATTTATTTTTGAAATAATGAAAATTTGTTTTAGCAACGTTATTTGTTGTTGGACAAAAAATCGATAAAAAATTAGTATAAAAGATCTAGTAAACTAAAAATGCATTGGGACTTTTAGTCTAACCAGGGAACGAAGAACATATAAGCTCTTGTGGAAGTCAAACTAGTCTAGAAGTCTCAGTCGCGTCGAAATCAAATTACAAAAACTTGAAATCAACATGACGTTCGCAAGTCGAATTTATTGGCGAAATAATTATGGCACCGTTAGAGAGAGGAGATCAGATTTTCATAAAATATTATGACTACTTACAAAATTTAACAATTACCAGAGCAAATGACAAGAATCTTGAACAGCCCGAAGAGTATCGCATTAACTTCAAGGAATAAATGGTGAATTTTTTTATAAATCCTCGATGGAAATCCTTACCAATGTTATCAAAAAGAAAGAAATATTCAACATCGTAAGTGAAAAATATGTGTACATAGCATAGTTATTCATACTTATATTTTTAAAGGCATTTATTGACAAAAATGAACTCATATTGACATATTCAACATCTAAAAAAAGTTTCAACACTCAGATTTGGAATGCTGAGTATTTGAGACCCAAAAACTTCGGAAATAGATATAAGAAGACTTATACAAAGAAGAACGCTTACAAACCTGTACTTCAGCCGAATGAATATATAATGCCAAACGTTTTCCTGAGAACAATGAAAAACGTTATACGGTCCAGGATAGACTTATGAAATACTGTGAAACCGATGAACCACAATTTGTACAAGAATCAAATAAATTCAAACAACCCGAAAATAGACAGCAATACAAGACCAATACTACACTTTATTCAGCTCAAGATCGACTTAAACAGTACAAGGACATCGTTACTCCAAAATAACCACAGCTTATACAAAATGGCACTAGGACTATAGATATGAACCGATTTGAAGTTAAAGTAAATTACTGCAAAGAAAAAAATCTCAACACTGACATAACAAAAGACCTATGTACTAAGAAATCAACATTAAAACTAGGCGAGACACAAAAAGTTAGTTATTTATAATTATCATACAAACAATCTATTATTACTTATAATATTTCCACAGATAATGATAGTTCAAAAACGAACGAAGACATGTTATCATGTACACTCGATGGAGAGTAGAAAGTCTGTTATCACCTTGTGTGATAAACTACACGAAATTGAAAATAACTTAAGACGCATCCAGAAAGTTGAGAAATACGATATGTGCTTGATATTTTTTGGCGTTGAATGGTACCGTGGGAAAATTATGGACGAGATAAACGATGGTATGTTAGAAATATTCTTGATTGACATAGCACAAGTGATGTTGTTTAACCGAAAAGAAGTCTATGAAATGCCAAAGCACTTGAAGGAGAGTCTTTATTAATTTAAATTGTCGTAACACCTCCGCCAAAAGATATGCTAACTACTGTTTATGCTAACGTAGAAGCAATAAAAACTACTGGACCGAGTACGGTGGTGAAACTGATTTGATTATAAAATACTATACTACCTTATAACTCCTATTCATTTGCATTCGACGGCCAATGTTTATATTCCTTAACGTTGTTAATGAAAGTTTGTGTGCTGTCAATGATATCCTTTTATATTATATATATTTTCTTTATTACGTTTATTATAAACTGTTTGCCTTTTCATAACTAATCATCTTATTGCTATATTTTTTATTTTAAAATTAAACACTATCTAACGATTTGCATTAAAGCGTTTATTATGATAGTGATTTTAATCACTGTCAGATATCATTATACTTGAACCAAATATTTTAATATATTATTTTATTATTGATGTATTATTATTATTAAGTGCAGTAAATATTACTAGTCGCTCAAATATCATGCACATTTTTTTCAAAAATTCTAAATTAAATTATTATTTACTCGTAGTTAATGTTATACAAAATATATTATCTAAGAAATTCCAATTATTTATTAGATGATAAATGAAAAGTTTTTATTTGAGTCCGAAAAGTTAGAACTCGACTACAAACATGGATAAATCCTTAAGAACTTCAAGTAAAATTAATTTATTTTGGTTACCACATAAGTCTTACCACTTTAGAAAAAAACAGATTGTTGTCAAATTTCAAGTCCATTAGATTCATTTTAAATGTTTTCAACCAAATCTTTTATTACTAGTTAAAAAACCCAGCTCAGTGGGGTCGTGGCATAGTTGGGTCCAGTATAGATGATATCTGAAGTGATTAAAATCACTATCATAAAAAACGCTTCGATGCAAATCTGTAGATAGTGTTTAATTAAAAAAAAAAAAATTTGTCAAAAAATTAGGTCAAGTGAGAGCTGAGAAAATAAATGATTGCTAAAAAAAAAACCACATAGTAAAATAATATTTATAATAAATTTCTTCTCACGAAAGGGGACTACAGTAATGAGATCATTGATATTTATTGAAGTTATTGAATCTATATGAGATAAAAATCAAATGAGTTAAACATTTTTTTTTAACTCAAAAAGAATTAAGAAAAAATTCAGTGCCACAGGCATGAAAGACCCAAGTGTTACTGTACGTCTCATTCGTCACTTAATAAAAATGAAAATTTTAGCTAGTTCAAATTTTAATTTCGTTATTCGTCATAATCATAATAAAAGGATGTATGTACAAAGTAGACGCAATAAGTTAGGCGACCGAGGCCTATGAGCAATCGAACCATCCAAAATCAAGAGTTAATAAAGAAATGATCCACCTCTCCCAAAAAAAAATTTCTGAATACGCCTAATTAACGTTTTATTATAAACGAATAAAAATAATTATTTAAAAATGGTAATAGAATTTTTGGTTCATAGCAACATAATGCAATAGGCCATCGTCTTGTTTTTGAGGTTGTCTATGTGTTTGAGAACAACAATCATGTTCTTATTAAACAGTTTATTTATCATTATATATTGCAAGGTTATAAATGTCATGGAAGTAAAAACATAAAAATAGCGTTATTGCTTATATCATATTATATATGAAATAATTAATAATTTATCTGAAAATATTATTTAATTTGTATAATACATTGTTTAATATGTAATTATACATTTGAAATGATTAAATTTTATGACAAAATCCGTCATTTTTGAAAAAAAATTAACTTTATTACTCCATGAAATTCGTCTAGAATCTTCTCGAAGGAATCCAATAAAAATATATCTTATAAAGACCGGGTCCAGGGGAGGTGTTCATCGATTCATCCGACAGTTTATGTTAATCAAAATTGTTCATTGCGCCTTGAAAGTCTCATTGAGTATTATTTCATTAAAGACCGCCATTTCGTTGTGAATCTTTCAACTGTCAATTGCTTATAACATTAATCTCTTAGGTATGTATTCCTAATTTCCTAAGATAATTTATTCTTTAGCTTTATATAAATAGTAAATATTTACTAGAATATCCATTATAAATTTATTTTTTATGAATTGTATCTATAACTCGTGGTTTCTTGTGATGATATTAGCTATAATATCTAATCGCGCAAATTAAATTCTAATGATACAGTATCTATTAACAATTTTAATGAAAGTTATTTTGGTTTATTATTTTTCATTTATTAATTAATTTTGATTTTATTTTCAATGAAAATTCAGTTCCATATTTAAATTTATTAAGGTATTAATATCACTGAAGATGTTTCGTACTAACGAGTTATATATATGTATATATATTTAATGTATTATATAAGTTAAAATAGTTAATGAATTATTACGTATTCTCACACTAAATCTTAACCTTTACAGTCACATGACGTTTACAAACTCGGTCATTGTTTTTCCACGTATAAATTATTCTGATAAGTTATTTAATCGTTTCTAATTTTAAAATGGTTACCTACAATTTAAAATATCACCCCACTAGGTAGTACTTATAATTTATTAATTTTAATTTTACTTATTTGAGTTCTTAAGAAGAGTTACACAAAAATTACTGTTTGCTTTTCTTTTACAATATAATTTTAGTTAAAAGATTTCTATTGATATCAAAAACTCAATGTTCTTTGTTATTTATTTTACCTTCATTCTTTCCTCAAGTTAATATACCATTTTCACTTAGATCAAATTTATAGTTCTACTACAACCATTGCATTTTTTAAACACAGCTGTCCGTAGTGGACAAATGTTGTATAAGTGGAGTTATAAAATTATACACATATAAACAAGTATTTTTTATAACCTAAAGTAATTCTAAAATTAAAAGATTTTTAAATTTTTACCAAAAATCTAAATTCTAAGTAGCCCATTGTATCTATCAATATCAAATGTTATCGTCCATTTAAATTTTTTTGTTAAGCTTATTTTTGAGTTATAGATATTTTTGTAAAATATCCCTAAAAATTTGATCATATTAGTTACATACATAGATAGAGTGAACTGTTCAACCAAATGCTTGGTGTATATATATAGATACCTAAAATAGTTCTCAATTGTATTCAAGTTTCAATGTTACAAAATGATAATGATTTTAATTGTTTTATATGCATTAATAAAAATTGCATTAATTTTAGAAAACCTTAACAAAAACACACAGAAAAAAAAATAATGGCAAAAACTCCAGCTATTGGTATTGATTTGGGTACCACCTATTCTTGTGTTGGTGTGTTTCAACATGGAAAAGTAGAAATTATTGCCAATGACCAGGGAAACCGAACTACTCCTAGTTATGTTGGTTTCACAGATACTGAACGTCTTATTGGTGATGCGGCCAAAAACCAAGTTGCCATGAACCCAAGCAATACTATTTTTGGTATGTAATATTTATTTTGATAAAAAGTTATTCTATTAATGATAATGTATTTGGTAATAGATGCAAAGAGATTGATTGGTAGACGTTTTGACGATACTACTGTACAAGCTGATATGAAACATTGGCCTTTTGAAGTAGTTTCTGATGGTGGGAAACCCAAAATTAAAATTAGTTACAAAGGTGAAAACAAAACATTCTCACCGGAAGAGGTATGTGTTTTTGTATTTACTAATTGATATTAGACATGTGATCATTTATTTAATTAAATTTTACCAGGTATCTTCAATGGTTTTAACAAAAATGAAGGAAACTGCTGAAGCTTACTTAGGGAAGACTGTATCTAATGCAGTAATTACAGTCCCAGCTTACTTCAATGACTCTCAGCGTCAAGCCACTAAAGATTCTGGTACTATTGCTGGCTTAAACGTTATGCGTATTATTAATGAACCTACAGCGGCTGCCATTGCATATGGTTTAGACAAAAAGACATCTGGAGAACGCAATGTACTCATCTTTGATTTAGGTGGTGGTACTTTTGATGTATCCATCTTGACCATTGAAGATGGTATTTTTGAAGTAAAATCTACTGCTGGTGATACTCATTTGGGTGGTGAAGATTTTGATAACAGGATGGTAAATCACTTTGTTCAAGAATTCAAACGCAAGTACAAGAAGGATGTCACTACTAACAAGAGAGCTTTGAGACGTTTAAGAACAGCTTGTGAAAGAGCAAAAAGAACTCTGTCATCATCCACTCAAGCCAGCATTGAAATTGACTCATTGTTTGAGGGTATTGATTTTTACACATCCATCACTCGTGCCCGTTTTGAAGAGTTGAATGCTGACCTCTTCAGAAGTACTATGGAACCAGTTGAGAAATCTTTAAGAGATGCTAAGATCGATAAATCAGCAATCAATGACATTGTTCTTGTTGGGGGTTCTACTCGTATTCCAAAAGTACAAAAATTATTGCAAGATTTCTTTAACGGTAAAGAATTGAACAAGTCTATCAACCCAGATGAAGCTGTTGCTTATGGAGCTGCTGTACAAGCTGCAATTTTGCACGGAGATAAATCTGAAGAAGTTCAAGATTTACTCTTGCTTGATGTTGCTCCTTTATCACTTGGTATTGAAACAGCTGGAGGCGTGATGACAGCTCTTATTAAGCGTAATACAACTATCCCTACCAAGCAAACTCAAACCTTCACTACCTACTCTGACAACCAACCCGGAGTGCTCATCCAAGTTTATGAAGGAGAACGTGCTATGACCAAAGATAACAATTTACTTGGTAAATTTGAACTTACAGCTATTCCCCCAGCACCTCGTGGTGTTCCTCAAATTGAAGTTACTTTTGATATTGATGCTAATGGTATTTTGAATGTGAGTGCTATTGAAAAGTCTACCAACAAAGAAAACAAGATCACTATTACTAATGACAAAGGTCGTCTTAGCAAAGAAGATATTGAACGTATGGTAAATGATGCTGAAAAGTATAAGGCAGAAGACGAAGCCCAAAAGAATGTTATTGCAGCCAAAAATAGTTTAGAATCTTATTGCTTTAACATGAAGAGTACAATGGAAGATGATAAAATTAAAGATAAAATTCCAGAATCTGACAAAAGTACAGTTTTGGATAAGGTGAATGAAACTATTAAATGGTTAGAAGTTAACCAATTAGCTGAAAAAGAAGAATATGAACACAAACAGAAGGAATTAGAAGGTATATGCAACCCTATCATTACTAAATTGTATGCTGGTGCTGGAGGAGCTGGTGGTATGCCTGGAGGAATGCCTGGTGGTTTCCCAGGTGGTATGCCTGGAGGTTTCCCAGGCGGTGAACCTGGAGCTGGAGCACCTGGTTCTGGTGCTGGACCTACTATTGAAGAAGTAGATTAAACTTATTTCTCTTATATTTTTTCTAAAGATAAAATTAATTTAATTGTTTATTTAATATACTATTTACATTCTCATTAGAATCAAGAATTAATAAAGTTTTTTTTATTATAATTTTGAGTTGGTCATTTCACCCTAGTATAAAATTAATTGTAGTATTCATCACTGAAAAATTATATTTTTCCATTTTATAAAAAAATTGATACAGTTAACTATTGGTAACTTTTATTGTGTACTAGTATTAGTTTAGTAAATTTAATTTAATGCATTTAGATGAATAGTATTGATGTATAAATTTTCAATACTCACACTTCTTATGCCAGATAGTTTAAATGCTAATATTTTTGTTTGTTATGTTACCTTTTTATTAGTATTAAATGTAGTGTAAATGAAATAGTTCAAAGTTGAGATAATGAAAAAAATCCATTAATATATATTTAGCTTTTAATTGCCCATTTTATATTTATTTTACATTTTGTTTTCAACTACACTTAGTGAGAGATTGTTGGTTGAGTATACAACTATTATATACCATGAAAATAGCTGACTGTCCCAATTTATTTTTAAAAATGGGCTGTAAAACTTAATTAATAAATACTTTGGTTGCCCACAAATAAATATTTATTTTTTATATAGTTATTTCTTATAAGTGAAAAAAAAAAAATGGAAATTTAATGAGTAAAATTAAAATTTTTTTAAACATTAATACAAAAGTTCAAATATTTAACAAGCTTTTTTATATTTTATTAGGAAAATATATATCATGAAAAAGAGTAGAAACTAGAGCTTTTAGAACTAACTTTTTAAAAAGGTATGAATTCTTGAAATTTATCATGTATTTTTTATTGTCGTCTTTATATTGCTATAGCTTTGGAAAGATCAACCACAAAATTTTTTATTTTGATTAACTATTATACTTTGATATAAAGAAACGGCAGAAAATTGAACAAAATTAAAAAACCTTATGTCAAAAATTAAATTTTATATAGAATGACCCTTAAAAAAAATTAATTTGTGTGGAAGTATTATCATATGTGTAATAACATTACAGTAGAAATTAACAAAAATATTTTTTCTGTATTCTCTGGGAAAGTGTTGAACATTTATTTTATACAGTTTTAAAATCTATAACAAATTTAATTTATCTCTTTTATTTACTACTAGAATACAATGGGAAATCTAATTAATAATAAAACTCTGTAATTATTTTAGAATAATTGTATTTATATCTTAATCATAATATAATTTATTGGAACATAACAAAAAAAAAAAAAATATATTTACACATTACAAACTGAATCACAGACATTTTTAACAAATGTTCGTAAATGATGTGTACATTTCGATGTCAATACAATGTATGTTTTAAAATAAATTTTAAAATACCAGCAATAGCTTTAAACAAAGTAAAATTACTAAGTATTAAATGATAAAAAATGTGAGTACATTAACAAATTCCAATGAATTACAGGTACAATTCAATAAAAGCTAAATGTCATGTATAGACTTCAAGTAAATATACATCAATGGTAATAGTATGTGATTGTTTAAACTGGTAATGGCCCAGAAGAATAAACCTTAAATAACATTCTTTAATTAAGTAGTACAACAGTAAAATTCTTACATGAATTTTCATATATAAATAACAATATAAGTAGATTATTTTAGCAATATTTTAATTTTGAATTTAATAATAAATTGTTTCTTTACATAATAAAAATATCATGTATACATTTTATATGGTACATATTTTCTAATTAATATTGTACAAATATTTGTTAACAAATAATTGATTTGTTCGAAATTTGAACTGATCACAATGACAATTTTTAAAAAATATTTGCTAACATAAAGCATTATAAATTTACATACACAAGTTTTATTATTATTTTTAAGTTTGATAATCAAATACTGAAAAATTGATCGATAACAGTATTAAAACACAGTAAAGCAGTACAAAAAATATACATGTATAATTTCCCTTCAATATCTTTAGCATAAAAACAAATAATAGAATAGAAAATAATACCACATAAAAATAATCTGTAATATAAATCGCTATGATTTGAAAAACATATATATCTATAAAAAAAAAATAATAATAATAAATTGAATTTAAACCTGAATTATCTATCAATTAATTTCAACTTAATAAATTTTTTAAAAATTGAACAAATAAAACAAGTATGAAATAGAAAATGATGTTTATGGTCTCTTAGTACAAATAACATTGAAAAATTAAGACAGTAAACTAATGGCAAATTGGTTATAGAGAGCGCTAAAATTTAAAAATAAATACGAATGACTAAAAAAAAAGAATATAAAGGAATGGTATATATTTTGAGATATATTGTTGATAGATAGCATCAATAAAGGAACGAGGAATAAAAATAAAAATTTATAATTTATATTTTAAGTAGATAAATTTGTTTAAAACCGTAATAAAAATTAATTAGGAAACAATTTCTACTAAAAAAAGTTAGATTGTTCAACGTAAAATTAAATGGTTTTTCAAATGATTAACATTATAGTTATATACATATTTTTTTAGGACCACAATCATTTGGTTGTGTAAATTAAGTTCAATGATACGGTTGTACTTAGTTTGACAGTCACGTTTCGGTAAAAAGTTCTTTGCTACTCTCGCTGTTTTCTTCCATGTTCATTTCGTTCTGTGGTAACAATAACTTAGTGTATCCTAAATGTTCTCTTCGGTTGCGTTTCACCTACAAAAGTAATAAAACCTAAGTGTCATCTCACATCCAAATGCATTGCACAAAATCTGTATACATACCAACAATAAAGTGGCCATCACAGCCGCGAACAATGCGACCACCAAGTAGGCAGCAGTAGTGCCATTCACCAAACTCATTCTCTGTTGGTCCGTTTGCATGACTACAGTTTCCAATTCCAAATCTACCGATGTCCGCCGTTTTTCGGCCGGAGTGTCATTGTGACACTCGCCAGTTTCGTTGTTGCACGCACAGCAGCCGTCACGGAGGTGATGTGCGCCACAACAAGGGACGCATTGTGAGTTTTTGCGGTCAAAGTGAAGAGGATACATACACGACGAGCAACTAAACGGGCCGGGACCCGAACAGGCCCGACACGACGAATGGCACGGTTTGCATAGTTGTGTAGGAGGATCGTAATACTGTGATCCTGAGCACTCGGAGCAAAGGCCGTCTTCTAACATGAAATGCGGTGGGCACGATGTGCACTGGAGAGGACCTTCGCCTGTAAAATCGTAAAAGTGAAATAATGTTTTTACCCGACACTGGAAGTACTAAATTTAAGTATGTGCTTTCAATAGGCATTTCCACCACATTTTGTCTTACCGGTCAGTCTCATTGTAATAACTCGATTTCAATAAGCTTAACGATTATAACGGCGGTCGCGCGACGTACAAAAAAAGGATACCTACCTTTGCAAGTTTTACAGTAATGATGGCATTTCTGGCAACCGAAATCTGACATGAAAAATCCTTGTGGACATTCCGGGTGACACTCCCCGGCGGCTAACTGCCATCCACGCGGACAACTGACACACTGATCCCGGCGAGGGCCACTGCATGTCATACAACTCAAATAACATTTTGCGCATGATCCTACGTCGCTATAATAACTGCACAACAATAATTTATATAATTAAATCGATTGTGTTCTCTGGTTCTTTTTCTAGAATGCACTCGAGTACATACCCGGGGGCGCAAGTAGTCCGACACTGACCGGTTTGCAAAAGCAAAGGCGAATGACAAGACGTACAGTTGGTACGGGACACGCATTCGACGCATGGATGCGGACACGGTTGGCAAGTGGCGTAATTTCCGAATCTGAGGTCCGGGTAGAAACCAGCGGAACACTGATCGACGCAAGAACCGGGCGCCTGGAACAGGGTTGGAGCGCGACACGACAAACAGTTCTGTTCCGACCGATCGTTGCAAGTCTCACACGAATCGTGGCACGATTGGCATTTGACGCCTGTCCAAAACTGGCCTACTTCAAAAAGAGATATAAAAAAATAACCGATTCTATAATGTAAATCAAACTGTTAGAATAATTGTTTAGCTCCATTTTGTACCTGATTGACATTGTTGACTTCCGTTTTTAATACAACGACCCTTCTTGTTTAGGGTAAAACTTTCGTCGCACTCGTTACACACCGTAGAGTTACAAGTCACGCAACCTGTCGGACAGGCCAAGCATTCGTGACGTTTTTGGTCTGGATAGTAAAAGTCAGGGCACTTGGAATGACATGTTCCTCCAAGTTCGAAAAATCCGGTTTTGCATGTTATACATTGATCGGATTTGGGACCAGTGCACGTTTCGCATTTCGAGTCGCAGGGGTTGCACCTGTAAAACGTCACAGAGTGTTCAATATTAAGTAGGAATATTTTAGCGGTGAATCTGAATGTAAAGAAATTTTAATCAATACAAACTATCATCGAATGATACAGCAAAATTAATAACAAACAAACTTTCAAATGAAATACCTGTAGTCGTCAGTTTCGTACGTGTTGACCGGACAATTGGCATAACACTGGTTGTTGTGCAAGACTAGATGATGTTCGCAGCTGGTGCAAAGATCGGGTCTACCTTCGCAGCTACCACAATTGGGTCCACAAGCCACGCAAGTTCCTTCTTCAGTGTCTGCGCAATCGTACAGTTATGTAACCGAGTTATTTTTGCAGTAGACAAAAATAATGTTTATAGTTACTTTCGAAATACCCGTCCGGACACTGTTGGAGACACACGGCCAAATCGGTGACTCGTAGATGAGCCGGAGCACAAGTCAAACAACTGTCTTGTCCTGCGCCGGCACATGTCTCGCAAGACTCGTGACACGGCCAACACACGCCGCCTTTGTTTGGGAAACTACGCGGCGGACAACGGCTGACACAAGTGCTGAAAAAGATAAACGTAATAGTCAGCGAAACGGTACAACAAATAATAGGATACTCCAAACTCATAGTTAAGCACAAAATTATATCGAGTCTCGTATCAATTAGGTAACACTTGACCCCAATTGGAGTTCACTAATGAGTTTTTTTAACGAGACTTTCTAAATGATTGCAAACATTTTGTTTGCGCGACACCGTATAAACTTTGATTACAGGATATTTCAGCGGGTCACATTCTAGATAGAGTTTCTAAATCTACGGGTGGTGGTTTCCTTGTCTACTATCGAAATGCCGAAATTTTAACATGATTTTGTATTAAAACGCACTTGCAAGACACAAACGTAACAAATGATTTACCATATGAATTCCGACTAAAACTTTTAGAAGCAATCGGAAACCACTACTTCCCTTCGTTGTCCATAAAAGCTGTAATAATTTACGCAGAACACAAGTTTTTAGACGGTTTTTTGCACTTGGCTTGTAAGACTTGTTACCAATACACGCTAATTAATAGCTGCGAGTTGTAATTTATCGACGAAAACAGGACGCAACGCGGTTGGAACACATACTTAAACTATGCGAACAACGTTTTCAGTTTTTGTGATAACTAACGCATTAACATTTCACTCACGACTGTTATGAAGTTTGTTGGGAAAACTAACATAAACAGACCTTTTATAGGTAAAAAGCAGAACCGTTAGTTTTGCCAAAAAATAATCAGACGTCAGACGCAATCTCAATTTTACAATAAGATCCCGAACTGCAGGTTGAACTAAAATATATGAAATTCGAATAATAATGTTTCTTCTGCGTCTATAAATACAGGTAGTAAAAGAAATATCAATATTTCTAAAATATTATTTCGAACAACAACAACGGGGTCGTTATAATAATGCAAAATTTATATACAAAAACACGATTCAGATAAAATGTATGCAAATGTTTTATGGGTCTTACAGCGAGTAAAGTATGAGTCGCTCATAACAGTTACGGGAGATGAAAAGCTACTGGGTAAATATTTGCATTTAGTGATGTTCCCGCGAAATGTAAATGAATATTGTAAATTGTAATTTTTTCTTTCTAACGTCTCCTGGAGGTGTTGCGCTAATTGCCAACAGATATTTGTTTGCTAAAATTGTAGATATTATTTTAACAAAGAGCTTATCGCTCTCAATTATAATTTAAAAAACAATATAAAAAATGTATTAATGAAATTTGACAAGTTCACGTTCTGCCAGTATTAAAAAATTAATCTATAAAATAAACAGATACTTCTCATAGAATTTTTCTTGATATTTTATAAACATAAAATTTCTATTTTTCGCACTATAAAATTTAAAAGGAAAACTCAAATAATAACAATTAACTAGATTCATTTGAGCGCATAAAGTCAATCATTTTACGTTATGATAATATATTTATGGTTACATTTAATTGGCAACAGTATACTGTTGTTTTAGTTAAATGAAGCCATACATATCAGTCGACGGTTTTAATTTTTTTTTTTTTTAATCCTCTGCACAGAATATTTAAATAATTAATAATAAAAAAGTAATGAAATCTGTTTTCGTAAAAGATAAAACATATTTTATTTCATAATAATGATTTCTCAAATTTAAATAATAAACTGAATGTAATTTTTTCGCCGTAGAACAATATATAGGATTTAATTAAAAACTTATTTTATATTATATCATTACAAAGCTTATCATAGAATATAATAAAATTCAAACAAAATATAATTGTTTAAAAAATAATATTTTGTAAGTTAAAAAATACACTACAAGACAAACGACGTTCGTTTAGTACTTTTTTGATTTTTATTTTTTAGTTAACATCCACTTTTGTTTTGTTATGTTTTATTAAACTCTCCAAAAAAATTAATTTTTCGTTTAAGTTGTTTGCTTGTTATGTTAAATTAAAAAATAATTACGGCAAAACTTGTTTTACATGTCACTTGTATAATTATAGATAATTTATTTTGTTTCTGGAGTTCTAAATAAGGAAATCATCATAAGTTGCACCATTTAATGTAATAGATAACGGTAAATTTCAAGTTTGTAAAAATAAATAGTCCGACTAATTCTTCATAAAACAATATGAAAAACAATTTATAAAATAGTGTACACGGACTATTCAATCCAAATTAGCAAAAACTTAAAATATGTGTTTTTTTTAACTTCATTGTATTCCAGTCAAAACAAAACAATAGGGTTGTTATTAATAACCATATTGTTTTGTTTTGACTGTTTATGTAATAATAATGTATTATTATATAGTTAATAATAAAAATAATAAAGTTAATAATCGAAAATAATACACGCTAACTTAGATGTGAAATAAAATTGTAAAACTAAATCATTATACATATAATATGTATTTCTATAAATAGGTTTTAGTAAAATATTAATTGAACTTTTAGATTTAAAAATATCGTACTCTATCATTTTGTAACAAAAAATAAAAGTTCAAATCGTTTGCATCCAACCAGTAATAAAATGTTCCTATTAAATATATAAATTATTGTTGAAAAAATTAATTTCGTTGAACAGTTTCCATTTTAGAAATTCATTTTTTTCGGCTAAGTTCTTTATTATTATTATTATTTTTTTTTAATGAGTTAAATGTTCTTGGAAAATTAAAAATTGCTTTGAACCGTATATCATTTATTTTCAAGACTCGGGTCAAACCGTTTTTTGAAGAATGGTGGTTTTTGCAACGACTTAAAAAGACTCTGCATAAATGCCAAAGGCATAGAATAAATGCGAATATTTTTTAATTGAAGTAGATATTCTAGAAAATAAAAATAAACACATGATATAATTATGATGCAGCACTTTTTATAAGTGAATAAATTTAAAGAATTATAGATAAGTGTATAGAACACATTTATCTACTTGTCGAGAATTATTTATGAAGTTAGTGTCAATTAACTTTTACAACTTTTACTATTAAATGTATTAACTAATAAATTTATTAATTAATTACATTCACAATAATTATTAATATAGATTATTAAATTTATGTTGGAATTTAAAACTAAAGAGGAAATATTCTAAAGTTTAATATAATTTAGGCATACTATTAGGCAGTGATATAGTGAACTTCAAATTTCTGATTGACTAAAATTTTTAAACAATACAATATTAAAAAGTAAAGTGGATATTTTTAATATTCACTTAATATTTTTTTTATTGATATTTATTTCACTTATATTATTTTTATATAAATTTAAAATTATTTTTTTCAATTTAATCAGTATCAGTAAAAGACCTTTTCAAAAATTTCAGAGAGCTCATATATATTTGCTATGTGAAACGTCCACAAATATGCCCAAAAACCATCAATGGATATTGAGTCACAATTTCCATACAGTAAAAAATAATAATAGAATTATGTGAAAATTGAAATACATATTTTTAAAAAGAAGTATTAATAAAATAATGAATTATTATTTAAATCAGTAATTGGGTAAGCTTACACAAGACTCGTGGAAAAAAAAAGGTAGGTAGGCGTATAAATAGGCGCATAGTTATTAGAAAATGTGCCGAGGGGGTTTCGTGACCTTTTTTAAGACCGTAAACATTTTTGCTTTATTTTTAATATTATTATTTAACTATACTAGTTTTTCAACGATAATATTATAATTTTTAGATTTTAAGCGCAGTAACTTGTAAATTTTGTTTAACAGAAACGACAGATTAAAAGTTCCTTAAAAGTTACTACGCACAAAATATACGAAATATTATTATTTTATTATTAAACTATTAACAAAACAGTATAAGCTCACTTGTCAAGTTTAAAGTTTCGACAACCCACGCATTGAGTAGGCCCTTTGCCATAACACCCGAGAGAATCGCATTCAGGGTCACAATCGTGTAAAATCGTTTGTCCGTCAATGGGTCGTTCGAGGAGGACCTGCGAGTTGGACCTGGCGCTTGTCAGTGATGTAACCGAAGGCTGTAAACCGATAACATTGTTATGAGGAAATGAAAATTTCTGTTGTAATCGAGTTATTCTAGAAGTTTACCTCAATATCACTGCCTGCTGCGAACACGTCGGGGATGTTGGCGGGAGGGAATCCGACCCGTTGTAGTATATCAGATATGAAGCTCGTTTGGTATGCGGCGGGCGAGTTGATGGACTGTTGACCATCCAATTGAAAATTTTTGGGTACTTGCTGCTGTTGTTGTGATATGGCGAATGGTGGCGATGGCGGTGTAGGTTGTGGCGATCGCAGTCTGATTGGGTTGGTAGCTGTGCCATAGAAAATGAGCTGCCATTTTTTTAATATACCAGGCTGGTTGACGTGACGGTTTCCGCTGTTGTGTATGTGCATAGTCCAAGTGCCGTCTACTTTCTCACCCCAAAAATGTACGCTGAGGAAAGGCCAGTCGTCGAAATTGGAGCTGACAACGTCCCGAGGACGTTCAAAGAGTAACGTCGATGTGGTACCGAGAGGAGAAGTGAGATCAATGCGAAGATTACCTCTAGGGAAAAACCTCAATGATATTTTGCATTGGACGTGTTCGGCGAAACGCACTTCGTTAAGAGTCCCTTGACAGCCCCCTACTTCCATCGACACAGTCAATGTGCTTTCATAAGAGGGGTCGATTTGCCTGCAAACAGTGTCATTTCAAAGTAAGATTGTGAAATGACGCAGTGATATAACCACAGATTCTATCAACGGTGGTTTAGAATAAATACCTTTCTTCTGCGATTTCTTGGGATTTGCAGATGTGTTGCGGTGGCACGGTAGTCCATTGTTCGGCTAAAGTAACCATTCCACCAGCGTCCATGAGACCATAACCGAATTTGTGACTCACTGAGTAATATTAAAATAATGCATTAATTAGTCGTGCGATTAAAAAAAAAAAAACTTATAGTTAAATGATTTCTTAGCAAAATNTAAAAAAAAAAACTTATAGTCAAATGATTTCTTAGCAAAATAGTTTATTTTCTATGATTAAATCAATACGAAAAACTTCCACAAAAACAAAAAAACTGGTAAAANAAAAAAAAAAAAACTTATAGTTAAATGATTTCTTAGCAAAATAGTTTATTTTCTATGATTAAATCAATACGAAAAACTTCCACAAAAACAAAAAAACTGGTAAAAATTTTCAATTAATCTCGAAAGGATGAACATTTTAACGTAAGCTTTAACTACAATCAGTAGAATTTTAGTTGTTAATTTAAATGCGAAAGAAAGTTTTAATATAGTCAACAACAAAAGAAACTCAGACAATAGAATAAAGCAATTAACGATTGAAATATTTTTAGTCCTCTATTTTTTATTTTGGTCTGAAACTTTTAACGAAATTCCAGTTGGTAAATCATTTTGAACCCCGGTTTAATAATTAAATATACATACATTTTAATTATAGAACTTTCTCGTTTTATTTAAAAAGTTCGACAAGTACTAAATATCATACTAATGAAAACTCTAAATTGATGTAAATAATAAAATGGGTAATTTATTAACCAACGAAATAAATGTATACATTTTTTTAATTCATTCTTTTGTTTATAACATTTAATTTGTTTATACTTGAAACAATTATAAATGCTCTTAAAATACTTTAAATAATAATGTAAGAAGAAGCAAATAAATAAAACTAAAAGTATACACATATTTGTTTTAAAAATGTTGGTAAAACTATAATAATTAAGTAACAATCCTTTTTATTTCACTGTATTTATAATAACTAAAAATAAAATGTCTATTGAGTAACTCGAATTTTTAATATTATTTGATGCCAACAAAGGTGACGAATAGGTTTCCAGAAACTCTGTGCTTTTTAATAAATAAATCTAATTTCGAGGGAAACTTCATAACTTTATAATATTAATATGTTTACCACTGGACATTGTCACGTACATTCGACACGTGAAACGTCTAAATAGTAGCGTCGTATGTTTAATACAACAATCTCACATTATATATTTTTATACAAATATACAGTAGTACGAAACTGACTTTATATAAACGATGGCATCTGAATTGGTTTATAAGCTTTAGTTTTATATTAAAATCATTGTTAAAAATATCTATTTTACTGAGAGAAAATTATTATTTCATATTTACATTGTTTTGGATGGCAGTTATTTTTGTCAAAGACACTTTGTTTAAAGTAAATAAATTTTAGGCCATACTTTTTATACAACTTAGTCGATAAAAAGAAAAATTATAATGAGAATGTAGTATTTTTTTTATTGTCGATGTGACACTGAAGAGGTATTTCTAAAAAACAAAAAGTAAAGTATTTTTTAAAATTGAAATATAACCTTGGAACAATACTTATTAATGAAAAGGATTTTTTGACAAATGGTGTATTGACACATTATTAGAAATATTCTATTCATATGACCAGTTTTCACAAAGAAATTACATACGAGAATGAATAAGAGGTCCCTGGATGTTTTCATTGTTTGGTTTGTGCGTTTTAGAATATATTCAGTAAGTAGAGTTGTATGATATAACAACCCTTAATGGTCAGTTTACTACGTTCCCACTGGGATTTAACCTTTCGCCTTTATAGTTTCTTTAATTTATCAACGTCCTTTTGTTTTATACTTTTGTGAATGGAAAGTATCAATCTATTTTATTGGTGACTCGATATTATCAAACGAAAGAACTGTAAGAGTAAAATGGATTACAAATAACAAATGTGGTTACTTTATGGACCATCTAATTATAGATTTATATATTTGCAAAAAAAGGAAATGGAAAAGGGTAGAACATAAGTGAGTCGATTAGTCCTATCTTTTGTTTATAATCTCGGAAATACAGTTTTGTCATCATAACTTTCATGTAGGATCAGTGTAAACCAAACTTTATGTGCTTTATAGATAAATCGGTTGGAAACTTTGAAATTCGGTTTTAAGTTGTATTTTGTTTTCCGTGTTTGTGTACATTGTTTGTATCAGCGGTCGGAGTTGAAGCCCACGTTAAAAGGGATTGAAAATAAAAACAAATACAAATCTGTTAAACATCAAAAAGCTGCGATATATCATAAATATATATAAACAGCTACGGCATCATATGAAAACTATTAGCTGAAGCTTTTTATCATTACAAAATAAAAGGACCCGGAAAATCCCAAGGAACTACCCTAGTGTTCATAAAAGATAAACTTGTTTATAATATTACGTGCACTCTAAAATGATAACTGTTATCTGATCATTTCCAATAAATGAATTACTGTGGATTAACATAAATAGCACATACCTTTTCGACCGACCCCGTTATATATCCACCCGCTCTCGTGCTCCAGTGGTTTAGATCTTGATGTGAGTACAACTATATACTGCATGTCTCTCCACGTGAGCGATGGATTAGCTTCCAATGCTAATGCGCACAACCCTGCGGCCAATGGCGCTGAAGCCGACGTGCCTAAAAAAAACACCGTAAGTAACGATATATATGTTTTTGATTTATAAATGGGCGAAATAAAAATAAGTAATTTTACCAGTGTGTTCAACAGTGCAAATATGATCTGGTCGAAGTTTAGCGTCCATATCAACAGTGGCCACACTCTTATCATGACCAGGCGTACCGGAACTGTAAGTGGTGGCTAACGTCGACGAACACTCTTCCAAATACCAAGGTTTATACCTAAAAAATTAATGGAAATATTTAATTAGATGTTTTTATCAAATAATTAAATTAGCTAAAGAACAGTTACATTGCACACATCGAACGTATTTTATTTTTCACAATCTATTGAGTAAAAATAAATCGTTAAAAATACCCTAAAATATATTGCGGAGATTTTATGTAGTCATTAACAACGAAAAAAAGTTGAATTGTTTTGTGAAATAAAGCGACAATTTTGTTTTCTCTTTTAACGGATTACCTACGTTCGAGACAATTTCAGAGTATTGGAAATTGAATCCAATAACTAACACACGAACAGAACGACAACATAAAAGAGGATAATGGCGAACAAAATATTAATACGACTAGAAACATAAACAACGAAAATGTTAATTATAAAATGACAATGAAATACAGGACGGGGCAGTGGGTTCTGGCGAATTTTAATTGAAATTTTTTACTTTAGTATTAAAAGCAAAGTAATGAAACAAACTGTATTTTATTTTAAATTGATTAAAATGAAATAGTTATTATTTAAAAATTACACGTGTACACAAATGTCAAAACTTTCTTAAGTACTAAAGAGTTTCATTATCAAATGTGTTAACGTATTAAAATCAAATACGAGGCAACGCAGTTTACATTAAAATTCGTAAAACTTAGATGTATAATTATTTTTAGTGGAGGTGTAGAAACCATTAAGAGACATTTGACAGCTATTCGGCCAAAAACAAAGCACGCATTCGTTGAACCTTTTCGAGTAATTTCTAACGATAACGAATTCGCTTGCACTCGAAACGTGTATACAGTCCATTAGCTAAACAACAGCAGTTTGGTGTACATTATAAAATTACAGAAACCCTATGAGGCCTACTATAGTACCTTCAGTTGATGGAATTATTTTTCTGTGTGACGTCCAAAGTACAGCCCGCAATTACCATACCCCAGAGCTATTGACAAACCATTGCTGGGATAATAATTGCAAATTTATGCAGTGTACATTTTTGTAACAGTTAAATAATTAACGACTAAATTTTTATTAAAATTTAAAAGGCTTTAAATCTTACTTGATAAGATATAGTGTTGAGCCTTCTTCATTTAAAATTGTTTGAAAGAGAAAAATTTGTATTATGTAATCCTACACTTTTTAGCAAAAAATATAAAAAGTAAATTCAATATGCGAAACAACTTAAATAAGAAATAAAGACTTACACTAATTTGTATTTTGAAATTATGATAATCGCGTTAAATAATTGATTTAAATGGAAAAAATTCAGCTACAATTTTCAAAAATAATCCAAAAGTTTCATCGAGACTAAGTACTACATAAACATTTAAGAAAACAGTGAGCAACTAAATGAGAAATTTAGAGAAGCCCTGGAATGATATCTACACCAAAATGTAATCAGAGAACTAAAAGTCTAGAAACTATATATAATGTAATACTGAAGTGTTAAGATCTGTCGCCACCAAAATGTTTACTGACTTGTGTACACAAGTTTTAGAGTATTTTGGGAACAAAGCGAAGACTTGAGCTTTAGAGAACTATCAACCGAACGTTGACACCCGGAATGTTCTAGTAGGAAAGTTTGTTAACTAGTGGATGCTTTTGACCCCCTCTTGAGTAATAAAAATAAAAAGCATCCTACGACAATGTCACAAGAAGCTCCATGCTGTGTTATGTTTCTATTAGGACTTTAATGTCTATTATGATACTTTACTGTTAGATTAATAATTTTTGATAATTGTTTTTTTTTTTTGACATTCAAATTAATTATTTAAATAAAAATAGTATTGTACTCAGCACTTATATATAAAATATATATCCCTTATAACTGTTTTCACTTTTTAAAATCAAATAAACATGTCGATGTGCCGTGGATAAAACAATAATACAATTCCGTTTAGTTAGAGATTTTAAGAAAACTATTTCGAATGTATCCTGTTTTCTAGTAAATAAGAAAATGATGAAGTCATCGTTAAAACTTTACACCATCTAACACTCAGAAAGTTTTAAATCAATAAGAACAACAGCTTTTGTTCAATAACTTGTTATTCTTCGTTAAATCCTAATGTGTTAGGAGTTTAGTATAAGTATTTTAAGACTTGTTTAGGGGCTATACATTTTATATAAAATATAAAATAAAGATTCTATTATTTCTTATTGTATCTTAAGATACTAAAAGGTTTAGTTAAATGTATTAGTCACGCTAAAAAATTACTAAAAGATAAATAATTTGAATAATTGATTTAAATTAATTACACTGACTATCAAAGAAAACCAATGAAATTGTAAAATATAGAAACAATTAAAAATGAATAAAATTTGTAAAGCAAATGACGAGTTATAGTGACTCAAGTACAATATTTTCAAAAACAAAATTTGTCAGGATGCATCGAAAATAATTCCCTTAACTTTTTAATTTTTTGAGTAAATAATTGTTTTTACAAAATAAAAATTAATTGTGTTTTTGCGTTACAGAAAAACGATATTTTGAATTTCATGTTAAGAACAGAAATATAATGTATTTTGAGTATACCATATTATGGTATACTCAAGATTTATTTTTTTAAATGAAATAGAGTTAAAAATTTAAATTCAACAACAATTTTTAGGGAAAGTGAACTACCACAACCAAACATTAATTTTTTTATTATTAAAGAATTAATGTTTCAATTAATAATAAATATAAAAATTCAGATATTTTATTTAATTTTAAATCTAAACATCTTATTGTCTTATTATATAATAAGAAGATATTTGTTTTTATTAACATAATAGTAGCCCAATTATAAATACAATTATATATTTAAAACTTTATAGATTATAAAAGAATATATTTGTTATTGGGTTAATCAATATTTAATGACTAACTAAATCAAAAATTATGTAATTAGAGAAGAAAAATTAAATTCATATTGAAAAATATATTGATGATATTAAGGAATATAATATAAGAAACAATAAAACTAATTTTTATATAATTATAAATGTAGTGTGATAATTTTTAGTTTTATTCCAAACCTAAAAAGTTAAACTTAATGTTTTCTGGGAAGATTAATTAACTTATCTGGCCATTAAAGTTTATTAAATTAGATTAATTTTATCAGTTAATAATCAAAATTAAAGTCATTATAATGAAGTTAGTTATTATTAAAAAACCCTAATTTAAGATATAGAGTATTATTTCAGAAAAGTTATAAGATCAGACAAGTATCTTTCATAATGGACGCATCAGACGTATTTCGAGTTCAAAAATCGAAAAGATTAATTTACAGCCAGAAATGCCTTTCAATACTTATTATTAAGGGATATATAAATTCAATTACTCTAAGCTTATTAGTTAAGCCGTATAATACTCTTCTACGCATTAAAATTGTACTTATATTTTAAAAAAAGTTTGTCAGAACTTACGTCATATTTTGAATGATATCAAAAGTTTTCATTATGTATAAATAATTAAAGCAAAATACAATAATATACCGTTTTAATATATGTTAAGTATAATTCTAATGATTATGAAATAACAAATATCTATGATAAAAATTATCATAGTAAAAATACAGCTTTAGTGACACAAACAATAAAAATTAAAATATTGATAGACGGTTCCAAAAATATTTGACACATCACTTTATAAATAAACTTTATCACTTTTTTTTTATCAGATTAATGACACTACAATTTATGTTAGACAATTACTTTTATTTTAATGTTTATAACAAAGTTTTTGTCGAAAAGATGTTAATAAAATTACATTTTACATTTTAATAAAAAAAAAAGCAAAGGACGTAAACAAGATGGTGGAAATTTAATAAAAAAATTATTACCGGAAGAACTGATTCATTTGGTTTATATTAAGTTTGAATAATAATATTACACCATACAAGTCAAACGTCAAACGTAGCATTATAATTGAAAAACAAACTTCATATAGTTATAACTGCCAATAAATAATATGACATTAAAAACTCTTAAGGAGTTCTTGCAATGGAATTGGGTTAATAGGATTGTTTGAATGTTAGCATTATTTTTTAAATCTCCCTTGAGAAAAACTATAAGTACAGTGTTATTAAAAATTATTGTTTATTACTATGATACTACACGGATTTCATTATAAATTACATTATCATTCATATACATATCTAAAGAGATAGACATAACCTCGCATTAAATTTTAACAATACTAAACAAAGGTCATAAGAACAAAAAAAAAAAGTTTTGGCTCCATAAATTATTCTTAACAAATGTTTTTTCAAGAAATATTATGATGGTTTGTTACAACTTGAGAAATAAAATAAGACAAGAGTCTAAACAACCGTTCTTCATTAATCAAAACGGTTCTCATTTGTCTACCACTTTCCATTATTTAGATCAAATTAATAATATTAAAAAAAAATGTAATAACATTTCAGGATAGTAATTAAGTAAACAATAATTGAAAATACGCACAACCATTTTAGTTAAAATAAATTTCCAATTCTAAGAATTAAAAGCTGTTTTGATCAAACTTAATGATCTGAAACCGTACTTTGTGGACTTAAGATTTCAATAAAACAACTATTCAACGGGTTTTCCAGTCGACTTTAAGTCACGCACTTTAAGTTATTTGAACAATAAATTCGAAGAGTTATTACAAAAATTACTTCAGTTTGCGCCGTAAACGAAAGAACTTAACTATATACAAAATATTAAACAAAGCTATAGTTAAATGAAATTTATTCTGCAATAAAATGGTCGTTATTAACCATCAACTAAATACAAATTGTCAATTAAAAATGTGTTTCTAAAATAATTATAAAAAATAATCATTCCAGGGATTTTGTAATACATATTCAATAGTTTATGGTATTACGCAATGATAAATTGATATTTTGCGATTTTAACGTCATACTGATTAAATTTTCAATTAAGACTTGTATACAGAAATAAACAATCATTAACAACAAGTTTAATCCTAAAATCATTAATGCTAAACTCATAAGTACAAAGAGTTCAAAGCAACACGACAAAGGATCGAATCAAACAAAAAATCTCCAATTAACCTTTTATTATTCATACTGACAGTATTTAAATTTTGATGTTTTGATGTTTCACCGTAAAATACCGTATTGTATTTCTCTTATTGTTACCATTTCTTACTGAGCTTTTTATAAGATTTGGTTAAATACGTCAATGTTTATTTGTTATACGTTCTTTGTGTAATTTTCAAAAACATAACGATAACATTTTTATTTTTACATAAAACTTTTATGTTTCAATATTTTCTTTGTTCACACTATTATTTTTATAAGTATTCCCTCCCTCAACTTACCCTCCTTGTGTAGCACTGGATATTGATAATGTGAAAATGCTGTTAGTGTATCCATCACAGTTACAAGAGTCCGTATGTCGACCTCCATTACCAGAAGCCCAGACAAAAATTGATCCTTTTCCATGGCGTCCCTATAAACAATATAATTTTAAAATATATTTGTAGAAGCAATAGGACTTTTTTTTTTTAAATAAAAATAGTATATGACAGAACATAAAAAAAATTAAACATGGAATTAATTTTTATTTATTTAAAACATTTATTGAAGTTAAAAACAGTAATAACGGAGACCAGATGGTTTTTCAAAATATCCATCATTAAAATTTATAAAACACATGAATAGAAAAATTATATATGCTCACAATAGTGACACAATAGTACTTGTAAATAGATACTTGTACAAAACAATGATAATAACATTATACTCGAGGAGAAAAACGGTTTGTTTCAAGTACGTGGAAGTATAAATTAAAAATGATCTCAAAAATATCAAGTTTTAATAACTTTAGTAAATCTTTTATTTACACAAAGTATCACTTAAAAGGTGAAAAACGATGCTATGTTAAAAGATTTGCAAGTTAACTCCAAGATGTAAAAGCAAATTTGTTGCAAGTACCTAAATCAGTTCTTACTCGTTTTACATAAAATTAAAGCTTATTTACACTAAATTGAAAGTTACACCATAACATACGTCTAATAATGAAAAAAATTAATGTGAAGGACATTTTTGAGAAGCCATTGTTAACGATCTGGAAAGCGTTCGTAAAATTTCAGGCGCAATGTATGTATACATATACAACACAGTGACTAGTTGCGCTTAACGTGATTTTTAAGTACTTTTATAAATGTATCGTATTCACCGTCGAAAAGTTCATATGGATAAAGACAGAGACAATGGACGGCAAACAGCAGTAAAGATATGACAATTACATAATAAAAACAAGTCATTTAAGCTAAACTAGTGTCGAGGAATAAAACTTTCGATTCAGTTTGGTTATTTTATGATTACGAGTTAACGGCAAAAAGATCATATAAATTTTAGTCGGTTTATTATAACACGGAGGTACTATAATGTAAAACATTAAAATTTTATTTTACTTGCAATTTAAAATCATAAAAAATTATAATATAAATAGTGATTATAAGTTTTAAGATTGTTGGATAATGATTTTATAAAAGCTAAAACTTTAGTGTATTTAACATGTATTGGCCAATAATCAGTACATAGATGACGGTTATTAAGTCTTGAACGACTGGAGGAGTTAACAAATACTAACAAGTATTTCATAACTTCTTAAATTTTAGTTTTCAAAGTAGCATTCCCAAACTTAAACGTGGCAAGATCCAAATTTAAACAATCGGAATATCCGAATTTTTTTTCTGCGGCACGTTTTGAAAATATTATTACTATGCGATTTCCATTGTTCAGACAGCTATTTAATGTAAAAGATAGACACTTGACTGAATCGAATAAAAATAGTAGTTTTGACAGGAAAGGAGAGTAAACCAATTTTAAAAGTATGACTACTAAAAATGAAGTAAATTTTAGTTCTACAATAGCCAAGTAGATAGAATCTGTGTTATAAAAGTAACAGTAACATTTTATTACATAAATCAAACAACGCAAGTGCAAAATTAATTAAAAACATTTTGTTAAGGTTAAATTGTGGTTTATATTTCTGTAAGATACATAAAACGTCAGTTAAGTTCAGTTCAGTCTTTTTCTATCAAAAAGAAATGTCAGAAATTTATCTTAATAAATTTAAGCTCATTATAAAGTAAATAACAGGAAAATAAATAAAATAAAACTTAAAATCTCTTTGAAGAAAAATATTTTATAATAAGAAACCAATATGATAATTCGAATATTAATTAACTTTGTATCGAAATATTATAATTACTGCAAGTATTATATATTTATAACATTCAGCTTAAAATAAGTACATTACCAATTAAGTAATATGATCTTAAACAATATAATAAGAAAAATTAAGAAGATTGCTTAAAAAATAAATAGTTTCAATATTTTCCATCTAGTTCTCTTAATTTAAAAATTGTCCATCGAATTTAAAACAATGAAAAAATACATAATGTATACATATTAGTAAATTATAACTTTATTTTGAAGTATACTTTAACACGAAGAACGTATTATAATCGACTAATGGCCATTAACCACAGTCATTGGTGCCGAAAGCGAAAATTATATAAGGGTTTAATTTAGCAGGGACCAAAATATTATCACGCTTGACGTTGAAAAATAAAAAAAACAATAATTATCATACATTTATTATTTATTTTATGTAGATGTTGGTGTTTGTAACACATTACTATTACTTTTTTAGTTACAAACTTCTGATAACCCAATTCCTTAAAATTAATAGAGGTTTTCAGTTTTGATTACATAATCAAAGTTGAGTTTATAAACACGAAGTTAGGGAACTAAAGGTTACTCTCTGTAAGTATAGACATCCTCTTGAGAATTCGCTATAATGGCCAGGAATTTCACGCAGATAAAAATGGAATTTAACCGGACGCCGAACCTCTTCCGGGTATTTTGCCTTTAAAGTTATAAAATCTGTTATTTTAATCAAAAATAATTTTGTAAGTATCATATACTAGTACTGAGTACTACGTATCCAATAAGAAGTTCTTAATGTACATTTATCTTGTGTATTAATTTTATTTCCACCGACAAAAAAGTTGTATGAACTAAAATTATAATATAAAATATTTGAAAATATCGTTTATTTTAATATGTTGCATTAGGATAAATAGTTTTTTCATTTTTCTCTTTGATAATTTTGTTCTTTTACTAATACTAATTTTATATAGCCATTAACAAGAATAAGAAGAAAACGAGAAAATGATAGACTATATATTATATTTAAAAATAAACTGAACATCAATTAATTTATAAAGTTTCTATAGCTGTTTCAGAAAAGAGTAGATTTTAACGAAATATTTAAATTCAACTTGAATTTACTCACTGAAGTTACACCATAAATAAACGCTCTTCTGGCCAGAGGACCAGGTCCGTCAACAGTTTTTCCATCATCTTCAGGACCCCACGATGCGCTATAGATGTCTATGTGATTGATGTTTAAACCCAATGCACGAGCTTCGACTGCGTCGTTTACAGTTCCGTCTAACATTCTCACTCCTATACAAAAGATAATGTTTAATAGAATTCTAAAATATAGTTTTTTAAATTATCAATTTTTTGACCCTTGATTTTAGTTTTTTAACAACTGATTGAATATTGAAACTAGGTGAAATAAACTCATTTCAATGAATAATTTGCATTTATACTAGTATATCTTAATAAAAACCTAACAAACAATAAATATAAATCATAGTTTAGGTAACAACTGCGAAGAAAAAAAGCGATAAAATACTTTTTAAGTACGTCTTTATTTCTGATTTCGAATTTCAACTAAACTATATGTATTCTATTAAATATCTTGATTTATGATACTGAAGTTTAACAGCGACAAAGAGCTGTTATCCAGTTCTTCAACAACAATCTTAATACCCTTTCATAATCCTACCCGAGAATTATCCTTGAAGTAGACAGTTCTAGCTCTTATGTAACTGTACAAGAAGTAAAAATATCTCATATTTATTAATATATTATATAAATAATAATTTTAATAGTTAGCGTAAACATTTATCATTATAGCAATCATTTTAATAACGTACTCACTAATCAGTTTTTAACGAAAACCCCATACACATTCTGTACAGTAAAATTAATAATCTTAATATAATTACCATAAAATAAAAAATATTATTATTATTAATTAACCATTTTACAATACTAATAATCAAATAAAGCCAACCTCCGATACTGGCATTAAATGCGACTCCGATTCCACAATACTGATTGAATGCAATGGCCGCTACTTCACCAGCGCATCTTGTACCATGTTTGTTATCTCCATTATCCCGTGGCATAGGATCGTCGTCGTTATCATTTATGTCTGTACTGGCACTAGGGTCCTAGATAAGAAAAATCATAATAGAATTGAGAAACAATGGAAAATTAATTAATTATGATAAATTATTACACTTTAATGTCTTAATTAAAGTGTCCGAAGAAAAAATTAAAATTTCATTTGTTTTCATTTATTAAAAAATTAACGAACAATGTAAACAAGAAGGATTAAATTATAATACAAACAAAGTTTATTTAATAAATTATAGCTACCAATAATTTTTTATTTATTTAAGATGCACTTGTATCATTTCGTTAATAATTAATGTTGTTACATTAAAGAACTTATAATTTGCGCTAGTTTAAAGAGACAAAATAAATATCCTTTATTACTTAAAAGTTACTAAAAACAATTCCATCTTAAATAAATAAATTAAAAACCAATTATTTGTTTCCTATAGCAGAATTTAAAACGCATTTATTATTTTAATGGAAATATATCGAAGACAATAAATAACCTACCGAATACATACATACAAGATATAAAAAACCTTAGGGTTAAAAACAACATTCACTACTCAAGGCTATAGGTTTTCAAAAGGTCTGTTGGATAAACAATAGGATTTTTTTCGTTGTTTAATATTATTCCAAATAACTGGGACGTTGGTCTGTTATGAATAGAAATGAAATGTTTTTATTAACAGATCGCAGCAAATTAAAAATCATCTTGGAGAGTAAAATAATATTATACCGTTCACAATACTCGAACTAAAAAAAAAAATTTTTTTCCAACTTAATAACGAAATATAGTGCGTAACACTGACGTGATCTGGAATGCAAATTTGGAATTGCGCTCTTAATACCGAATGAATTTCGATACTAAAATGGAATTTATTTGAAAAAATATACAACACATAGCATATTTTATACAAATGCACAATATGCCGAACGTAATTAAAGAGAAAAAGTATTACCAGCGTCGTAACCACCACCCATTGATTTAATGTAAAACAAGAAAATCCCCAGGCGACAATTGTATAAATCTCTAAATTACTCGTCATGCACGAGTACGCATCAAACATAATAAGAAGATTTGTTGTAATTCGCCCATTAAAGTAAGTTCCATTTAGCAAGGAAATATATAGCCGATTCTGACAATATTTCGAGTAAAAAAGAAGTTATATAAAAACTTTTTCGGCTCTTTTATTCTGTTTTTGTCAAGAGTCTTACAGAAATTAATAAATATATTTAAAACATAAACGCAACAATAAGTTTAAAGATACTCGTAAAAACTTAATAGACGAACATTTCTGCTTGAATAATCGCGATACAGAGTGAAAAAAAGCAAGTTATAGATCTAATAAAGTAATTTCTTTGAAATATATTAACATCGATTTTTATTTTCGTTTTAAATAACAATTTGTTTAAAACTGTACTTAATATACTTAACGTAATGTACCATTATTAGTTTTATTCGAAATCGGAAATGAAAAAATTCGAGTTTCCTTAAGGATGATTTTTGTAAATAGTTCTATAACAATTACTTATGAATTTAAATCATTTCAACTATTTAATTGAATTAAAATTACCTCACTTAATCATAAGCCAACCTTTTGAATAAATATCCCATTCTTAACCGTTATCATCTCTTACGAGGTTAGTTAAACTCAACCCTTACTAAGATACCAAAACTTTATAAGCATGGTATTATAATTAATTAAACATTTAATTGTAAACTGCAATTTTACAAGTAGGAGTATATTATTTAAAAATACACTCAAGTTTAATTGGTATCTAAGTACTAGTTACCTAAAATACACCAAACTACCAACCATTAAACTCAAACTTTATACAGCGTCATAACTTTAATTCTCAAAGGTTCAAGACAAGGTTTAAATTACTAGTTTTAAGGTAATTGAAGTGTGTGCAGAGGTATTTGTGATTTGACTTGGGGTTTTATTGTTGAAAGTAGTAATGTATAATTCAACGAAAAACTTGGCCAGTCAGTTTAGAATTACATAATTAAATTAAAATATCAGTAAATTTCAAAATTGACGTAATTATTTATAATTCCTAATTAACAAAAAGTATTTCAAAATTCAAGAGAAATGTACAATAAAAAAATACAATGAATGATATAACTAATTATTTAAAATATATATTAATATATGTGTTTGCAAAATAACTATTTTTACGGCTATTATTATAATTCACATTCTTGAACCAATTTTCGTATTTCTTTGAATAATTTTAAGTACTGCTTACTAATTTCACATTGAAATAGATTACAAAATAGAGCATTGTATAATTTTAACACACAAATATTTATATATATTAATATATGTATAATTAAAAAATAATATAAAAATAGTTCACTATTAGAAACCAGTTTCTGATGGACAAAATATACATGATCACTTTCGTATAATCAAAATATTACTCAAGTTTGTCTGCAGTAATATGTACTATAATGTTGTAATACATTCTATTTTAAGTTATACTATCATTTATATACGTTTACTAGGACATATATCTTACAGACCGACTCAAAAAAACTCCGCTCAAAATTAATGAAAAATTTTTCAACGGATTCAATATTATAACAATTTTGAAGTGGAAAGTCATCTTTCATTAGATTTTAGCTTGTTGGAACAAGATTAAAGTACTGAAAGATTACAACTAGTACTGAGTTTATCAATAACCCAAACCGACCACAGAGTAATTATTTTTTGAAATATTAACACCGTAACGTATTAGGTAAAGAGGAAGAAGTTGAATGATGTGCTCTAGAAAATGAAATATTACACTATTTCTCTCACCTCTTGCATGCGTACCATTTAATGTTAACTTGAGAAGTTATATCCAATTTTTTTTACCAATTATTTTCCTGAAATTTCACTAATTAAGTTTGTTATAATTACGTCCATACAAGATATTCCCTTACAAGATACTCGTTTTAATTTATTTAATTTAATATTAAAATATATAATATTTTATATATTTGATATTTTATTTATTTAATTTATTGATTCATTAATTTTTAACATGCATTTTATTCATAGATATGATTATATCCCTTATAATTTATAAGACCAATATAATCATACTTTTAATGATAACCTTATATGCATCGTGGTTATATGATGGTAAAATAACTAACAGAAAATATGACTAATATACAATAACGATTGTATTATTACTTTAGGGATATTTAGACTTGGGTGGGTAGGAAAACGCGGTAGAGATAAAAATAATTTAAAGCTTTTCCTATTCTCTCCATACCTTAAAACTTTTACATCCTTTATGGTAAAAGTACAAAAGTTTTATCAACCATTCATATATATATATTTATGTAGATTCTAATTTATGATTATTATAAAATTTAATGTGTATGTGCATCAAAAATATGAAACTGATAACTTTTTTTTAATAATTATAATATTTTTTTATCAAAGAATAATTAGATTGGAGAGTGAAAACTTAGAATAGTTTATAAAAATATACTTTATCTTTTCAATTAGCCTTATTTATTTGAAGTTCTGGAAATTTATCAAAGAAAAGTTAATTAATAATAATATATAGAAGAGAATTAAAAATATTAATGATTACGTTTTTTCTACAGTATTTATGTTGAATTAGCTTTAAAAAAAATAAGTAACAATAGAAATTATGAGAAATAAAATTTTGTATTCAAGGCATTTTCTATACCCTAAAATCAAATCATATAAAAGAATACATTTTATTCGTTCATTTTTTTTTATCGCATTCAGACATAATTATATTGATCAGATACATTCAAAATACTTTTTGCAAGCCTTATTTACAGTTGATGTTTAAAACTCACTTAAAAGAACATTAACAACGAAGTATGTACTTGCCAATTCCACATAATAACCAATACATGAAAAATATATCGTAGATGTCAAGCTGATGGTTAAGGAAAATTAATGACTTCATAAAAAACATCCAAATGTTCATTATTGATAACTTTAAACGGAATGCAAAGTTTACTAACATAAAATGCTATCGAAACTAATGATGTATGATAGTCTACCATATGAACCGTATGAGGTAAATTTTTATTAATAATAAATCATTTACTATATAGTTAAACATAAAGTACCAACCCTTGAATAAAAATTGATTCGAAAAGTTCTTATTTCTTATTTTTTCTGTCGAGGTAAAAATAAATGGAGCCAAAGTTTTTTTAATCTTTTAAAAGTCAGTGGGTCAAATAAATTACAAAGTGAAAGGATTAGTATTACATTTACTCAAAATGAGTTAATTTAATTTAAAATGGAATATCAATGTACTTCTTTCAGGATAAATATTTGTAAATTGACTTATGTAAAATATACATAAACAACACTTGTAAACAAAAAAACTCATATTTTACCGAAAAAACGATAATTTTTTAATCATTTGATTTTATACCCTTAAAGGAAAGTTGTACTACTAAAAAATGAATTAATTCTAAAAATTTAAGGGTTTTTTTTTTATATTTAAGCTTAATTTTCAAAACATAATATAGAATTCTCGGTAATGTTTCAATGCTACTTAATAACATTGTATAGTTCTACAGATCTATAGTTAACATGTTCTAATAACATTTGATGGTTTGAAATGCGTTCAAATCACATTTCAAACATCACCAATAGTATTGAATAAATGAAAAACTTCATAGACTGTGGCAGCACACCGTTCTGTCATTTATTCCCCAAACACTTACGGAGCACGCCGAAAACGTTCGCGAGTACTTTATTGAGTCAACACATTCATGACACGGTTTGTTTGGCATGTGAACGCGATGGCTGAGGGCACAAGTGAGGAGGCATAAGAGTAAAAAATAGAAAAAATACATACAAGCACACTCGCACGGGCTACAAATCGTATTTCTTTTCCCCAAGTGGTCCCCAGTCGTCGTCAACGATGTATTTTTCTCTACCACTACAGTAAAATAGAGCACCTCACCCACGCAGCACATTTACCGAGCAAATGAGTTTGTGTATACGTATGAATACACTAAATAGGTCAAAATGGATATCATAAAGATTGTATCAACGTACAGAAATACTAGGTTATCTCAGTCGAAATTTTATCCATAAAGGAAAATATCTGATATTGGTCAAAGGACGTACATAAAAAATATATTTATGAATTTTATTAAAAATATATATTGACGATATAAGATCATACCTTGCATACACTATAGCAAAATGCTAAATCGGGTCATCTTTATTAATACTAGTATACATAATATACTTACATAATTGTGTGCTAAATCAGGATGATTAGTTTGAATACCGTCGTCAAGTATAGAAACGACAACGTTTTTGCCTGTATATCCTTTCTGCCAAGCCGGTCCCATATTCATGTCGAATCCGTCGAGAGCACCTCCGTTCTGTAAAATAAAAGTATAAAATTATTAAGCGATTTCAGTTGAACCTAAGAGAGTATACAATAATATTTAAAATTGATTAAGTTACGTTTATCAGAAAAAAAAATTAAAACAATAAATTAAAAACAACTTTATACGATATAGAAATAATGTGGTCTACGCTATTAATTAATAACAGACAATAATACTAAAATATTCATTAAAAGTTTAATTCCTTCCGGCTTTTAAAATAAAAGTATTTTTTTAGCTTGACTTGAGTGGACTTCAGTATACAGTACAAAATAATCGCAAGAGGAAAGCAAAATAAAATACGGAAGTAATACTGATATTTTAAATAAATAATTCGTTCATCAATAATAAATACAGGCACTGAACATGGTTATAAAAAAGTAGAATTCGTATGACATAATAACATCACCCAAATTCAATTTAGGGAAGACATCGAGATAAAACCATTGATTATAGTTACTATCTGTACTCAATAATAAAACCAATAATATTTCTAGGTAAAAGTATATATAACTATTTTTTTTTAGTAAATTTCAAGTTATCATTTTAATTTGAAGAAAAATAATAAAACATTGATAATTTTACAAAATTGTAATTTGTATAATCACTAAAAAAAAAAATTAACTATTGTTATAAAACAAAAAAATAAACCTGAGTCATCAATAAAAAAAATTAAAGAAATATTTTTTTTATCCTTTATAAAAATACATTAATATTTATATAAATCTTACAGAACAAACTACACAATAAATTTTTATACTTCTGGAAACTTTATATTTTTGTATTTTATGGCTAACCTATGTTTCATGGATAAGAAGTATGACGTCATATTACGTCAGGAATAAAAAAAAACTGTAATAGTTTAAATTGAAAAACAAAATATTTCGAAATAACAATAAATCTACAATACGTGGTTATTTTTTAAATGGTCCAAATTTGATATTATTTAGTACAGTAATACACCAAAATATGTTTTAACAAAAAATGTACCATTGTCAATAATTTATACCATGACAGTAAAAGATGTAAATGAAAATACATGTTTAATTACTCTTGGAAAATAATCAAAACTCGGAAGTCTACAATTATGACATGAACACATGTATATTCGCATAATTAACGTTGGTTTATATTGAAGCAAAAAAAAAACAACATATCATTTAAAAAATAAAAAGACGTGTCAAATTCGTAACGCCATTAAAATTATACTATTTAAAAATTACCTTGCAAAAATTTCAAAGTTATTTTTCCAGATTATACAGATTTAAACAACGTAACTACAATTTTCTAGTTTTAGACTGATTTGTGTCATGAATCTTTATAATATATATATATCGATTTGTAGTAATTTTTTACTTTGTAAAAAAAAAAGTAAATGAAAATATCAATATTAATTATAAGTGATGTGATTGTTATTAAGCTGAAATCACGCCCCAAATGCGTCACCAAAATAAAATGGATAAATCACGTTTAAAATGCATTGTAATAGAACTTACAATACCCTAAAATTTAAATTAGTACAAGCGTTAATGTGTAAATTATATCGGGAAAATGCATAACATTTGAGTATAATATTTTATTGTTTTATGCTCTATGGTTTAGTTAGTGTTGTAACGAAATTTTAATGGACCTAGAATATAACTATGAGTAAAGGAATGACAATAATACTTCACAGTTATAAATTGAAGTGACACTGCTGGCAAATGAAAAATACTTAATATTATGCAATTATAATATATAGGCAAAGAAAAATAATATTTTTCAACACTTTAAGCCATAGACAATGTGTTGACTTTGGTAAATAAATAATTATACAAAATCGTAATTTCCATAACTAATTTCTTGTATGAATTTAATGAACATTGTACACACGCTAACTGTATAATTTTTAATAAGTAATAATTTTGCCATTACATAATAATGATATTGTAAAATAGTGAAGGTATTATTTTTACACCGACAGGAATAAATTCAAGGTCAAATTTAATACCAGCGAAAAATCTATTTCAGTTTTGATCAAGTTTTATTTTGTGTTAAAAAAAACGTCAGAAAAAATTATTTCTAAAACTCTCGGAGCACACAGCACATGGAAATAACTCCCACAAATAATAGTACTGTAAAGAATGTTAACTCGATAAACTTTACTATTTAGAATTCAAAACATAACTACAACACACTTACCAAATACCATTGCTCTTTGAAAAGCGGATCAGAAAATACATTTTGGACGTTGCCGATACGTCTAAATGATTGTCCTTGAGCGTGGGGAGGCAAATGTCCGGTCGGAGTTTGTTGCTGAAAAAAATCAGAGCCAGCAAAAACTGTAGACGGCAAGTTTGGCCCGGGAAAATCACGTTTTCGCCTTTTTTTTTCATGTTGCTGCTGTACCCAATGCACCTGAAAAAAATACAAAATTATATTTTCAATTTAGATTGAAAATGATAAAAAAATATTATCCTTAAAGTAGGTAATAACAATCGATATATATATTATTCATAAAATTTAGACACAATAAAAGATAGTTTTTTATGATGTGAAACAAAAATTAAACGAATAATTTTATTTAAATTTATTGACTATTTCATAAAAGTAAGAGTACAATTAACTTAAAAGAATTTAAATTCATTAAGCATTAATATAATCAATAATGATTGACCATCTAAATATGCAAATCTTAATAAAAATAGAAAAAGTATGTAAACCTTGTAAAAAATAATTATATTTGTTCGTTATTTGTTCGTTATTTGTATAAACAATAATATTTAAATAGTTGATTATTAATAAGGATAGCAGGATTTTACCTACAAAATATATTATGTATTTAATATATTTAGTGTATACATAAATAGTATACAAATAATTACGAATTAAGTTAGTCACATTTAAGACGGCATTACCAGTGTAAAGTATTTTAACGCATTTATTTATGTTTCAGGTTGGGTTCTGATTTCGAATAATAAAAATAAAAAGTATAGCTTTTTTAAATTTATTCGGAGATAAATCATGAATGATAATTATATTCATTCATAGGCAGGACATTAAAGTCTTCTTTCAGAGAAAAATCTCAATTCAAGTACAACAGTTTCAAAAATTATAATAATGATTTTTCTTCTTGTTATTCTTTTACCTATCAAAATGTTTTTCGTGCAAAAACTGAACTTGTTATTATTTAATTAACTAAATAATAGTTGGTTCAGAGAATAATTGTGAGCGTATTTTAGTTCACGCGAAAGAGCAAACCTTCCTCTTGAATAAATAAAGGTAGCAATAGTTATAATAATGTGTAAACGTTGCAAAGTGTGAACTGATGCATTAACATTTTGGAAAACAATAAAGATCTACCATTTCGTTCTTATCGACACTGAAGCTTCAACGATATCATTTTGAGACAGATTCAACAGTACGAGTAAAATGTAGTGTACCCTATTCAGTAGCCTCTTACTGTGAAACAGTGTAATTCGTTTAGTCTTTAGCAGAACATCAGAGCAGGTGTAAAATGGCGATCGTGTTTACTGTTTACGCGCCGATGAACGTACTCTTTCTTTGAAGGCCTTTTCATCTCAACCAGGTTTGAAAATTGTTTTTCCATACATTCACAATAATACATTTGTATTCACAGAATCATAATAAACCATGCATATACCAGGCTAGAAGTTATTTCATTTTTGCGCAAAGTACAAAGTATCAAAAATGTCGTTTTATATTGCTAAATACCTGGTGAATATATTTATTCATTCTTAGATTACCGAACATACTTGTAACGAAAAAAAAACTAGATTTTTAAATGAAGGTTTAAACAATACTATTAGAAAAAAACTGATCGAATAAATATAAATATTAACATGTGACAGTTTGAAAACAGTTAACAAGACAGCAGTCTCATAAAAGTCTTATGCATTTTCCTGTATACATTAAATTTAGTCGAGTAAATGAGGTTTTATTAAAACGAGTGAAACAATTACTTATATAAAATAGTCTCCTGAAATAAGCCTCTTTGAGTATACAGCGTCATCAGAATTAAAAGAAACAGAAATTTTTTTATGAAATTGAATGATGATTGAGTATTTTATTATTTTTTTCTTTTAGTCACATGTTTCTTCGATTTTTCAATAATGAAGTCATTTTTATGTCTTAAAGGGTAGCAGTTTTATTTTTTTTAATGGGAACACATCTAATTAAATAGTTTATTTATTAGATAATGATCTATCTAATTAAGAAAATAGCTGACTAATATTTCAGAAGTTATTAACATTTTCATACCTAGGCAGGAGAAGGAGTGTGTCTAAGAAATGGCTTATAATAAAAATATTAGTTACTGCACACATTCTATCATTACTTTAAATTAACAATAACTTTTGAAATACTTGTGTAAAATTTGTTATCAACCAGTCATTTCCTTAATTATTATTATTAAATCATTATTATATAAAAAGTCTATTTAATTATGTGTGTTGTAATTCGAAAAAATAAAGTTGATACCTTAATAGGGTATAAGGGATGAACACAAAAAATGCTTCATGATTGATTTCTTTAAAAAATATGTATCTAAAAGAAACCTAAACAAATTATCAATATTTTTTTATTTATCAAAAATTTTCTAATATATTAAATTCTGTCGAACCTGAACTTCAAAGATGTTCACCCATATTAATAAATAAAAATGATATCTAAACGTATATTTAAGCATAAGTTTTAAAACCCGTTATAATTAAAAAAAAATTTAAAAAAAATTACGATAAATGACAGTTCTTCAATTTTTATGTAACATGAAATATAAAATGTATTCAAATGTTAAGATTAAATTTTATCCACGATCTGATAAAATTAAATCATTTGTTTGAAACATTTTGATAATGGCCAAATAATAATCAAATAGTAACACTTTTACTTTTTAATCATCGTTTGATTAATTTTAAATTAAAATGAGAAAACATTATTTAAATAGAATTTTGTATGAACAATTATTCATTTTTTAGCGACTATATTGTAGTTTTGCGCTTCAGTACATAAGTAAAAAGGTTCGAACCTATTGCACTAATATATAAATGTTTTTTCATAATTTCTACCATATTAATTTTTTTTATTTAATTAGAAACATAAAGTAAATCTAATAAAACTAAAAGAATATTAAAAAAAAATAAAAAATAGTTGAATTGCACAAAAAAATTTTCATGAAAATTATTATCATCAATTATTATAATGATTCATGAAATATATTTGAATAATTATTATTCATTTAAATTTTAAAACTGAAATATTTTTAGTGTCCTGTTTTTCTTTTCAGGTGTAATAACCTATTATGGTCAAGTTCATTTTTTATGATAAATATATAATTATTAAAACATCCGATACCGTAAACATGTGGGTATATCTCATTATTCTTTGTTATTAAAGATAATATTTTTATACCCACAAAAAATAAGCCAATTTATTTTCAGTTTACTATGTGAATAACAGTGTTGGATAACGTCTCTGGTAACCCAAATCAAATAAAACCAAACATTTACTTAAAATTGACTTCCGTAAAGCATCTAAATTTTGTATTTAATATACATACATCAATAAATCATTGACTTTTCAATGAAGTTTCATTTTTTGAATTTATTGAACAAATTCCACTGTATTTTTTCGACAAACGTTTAAATTACAGAATAATATACAAGAATTGTGCACAAACTTCTCCATTGACACAAAAATGTCGTTTTCTCCATTTCTATTGTGAACAAGGACAGTTGACAACAAACACAATAAACCCATATGTATACAGAGTGATTCTGTTATCGTGATTCACACAATTAAAAAAAAAATAATATTGAGATATTTTTTTGGGGGTTCTATTAGTAACATGTTTTCTCAAATTATTAATCATTAACGATTCAAAATAATGTTAGGTTAAGCGTAGAAGTTGTTATTTTAATTACTAAACATATTTAGGCCACACTTCTTCTCCTGTCTAGGAAGAAAAGTTTTAAGAACTTTTCAAATATTGGTGCAAAAGTTATTATTGGTCTGTCATTTTCATAATTAGAAAGATCATTATCTAATAAAAAAGCTAATTAATTAGATGTGATCCCCATCAGACATAAAAATGATTTCATGATTGAAGAATTGAAAAAAACACGTGACTAAAAGAAATAAAAAATAAAATACTCAATATTACTTTTATTTTTTAATTAATTGTGTGGTTCATAATAAAAAAATCGTCTTGCATATTTAAAATACGATACTCTTGCTTTACTTACACTGTCACAAGTATCAATGATTCTATGATTCATACAAAATTACTTTATGAATATACATTAATATATAAATTGCATATTATATATTAAGGGCGCAATTCGACTTTTTGCAAAATGCGTTTTTTTTTTTTTATTAAAATAATTTATTTTTCTGTTTGATACTATGGTAAAATATTAGCTTTAAACGCGTAATAGAACATTATGTCATCAAAACAATTGTTCCTTAAAAATAACAAAATTTGAAATTGGGCCCTTTTAGCAATAAATACATTTCTAAAATCGAACTTTTAATTCATATTACATAAAGACAAACGAAACTTTAACAATATAATATCGCCTAAGTATAGGTTATTATTTCTAACAAGAAGAAACCTCTTGAGACGTATGGTATACGTTTGATAAACTACATTTTCATTGTTACTTTGTAATTTATTACCTATTATTTATATGTGTGTTTTTTTTTAATCAATTTAAAAGTTTTATTGTAAAATATCAATTTAACAAAAAAGTTATTACAATACCACTGGTGACTGAAGTTTTACTACGCGCGTATTGTGTATAATATAAACGGTATAGAATTTTTAAAGTTCTCTACGTGACCTATCGTTCGTGTTCGCTTTGTTTGTAGAATATATGTCTGTATATGATTTTCGTTTTATTGATTGACAAAGATGACATAAATTGGATGCTGTACCGTCCAATACAATTTATAAATCCAACTGTCTACGAATGGTCGGGAAAGATAAGGGAACGCAGAATAAGTTTGGCTTCTGATTTAGTGTCAAAGAAAATCACTAAAGCACGTTTTAGACTAGAACAATTTCCGTTCTACACTTTTCTTCATATAATTTAAGAAAGCTCCGAAATATATAAAAGCGTGATGTGGACATAATGCGGTCATGCCATTATCATCCAAGTGGAATGTTTATTAGGACAAATCGATTGTTCTTATTACTGTTTCTACTATTAAATTGTCACCATTATTTTGGAACGCTGGAATGTTAAGATCGTGTGCTGTATACACGTTAACGTTAAGTTCACACGCTGCAATCAGTCCGAACAAATGCGAAATCCTTAAATTTCGTTTTATTCGACTTTTAAGAGAGTATCGAAGGTACGTAGAAAAAGGATTTTTGTCACAAACGTCTAGATTTAAAA